TTTCGATGAAGTTTCTAGTTAAAATCGCTCAGGTGATTGCAATTTATAACCTAACTTATTGTGCCTGTAGAGATGTCATGCATTCCTTGTAAACAGCCGTTTATACGACATATTAAATTATTATTTGCTTGGTGTTATACTTCAGAAGAGGAACAATGTGTGTGACAGTGAAAACCGCAGAAGAATGCTGTCATGACCAAAGAATGAGAAAGGAGAATGAACCTTTTTCAGCAAAGGTAGGAGAATATAAAGCGTTTCACTTTTACATTACTTATTTCTAACTTCAACGATTTAAAAATTACACTTTATTCACTTACTTGCAGGTGTTCGGTGAAGTCAGTCAACCTGGTCACAGCAATTACGCATCCCCGAAGTAATTACGAGAAACAATTGTGTAAAGACATTCGCTTATTATTTTTCATTAAATATATTTAACATCCTGATTACCATACTTTTCTTATTCTATCTCAGTGAAACTAAATTTGTAATTATGACGAGATGGAGGCCTGACCTACCAATGAGACCTGAGAAAGTAATTGTAGGCATAATTAAACGTAAGCGAAACCGTACTAATATTGCTACAGCTCAACCTATTAAATTACTCGTCTCGTGTAAACTTCATTTTACACTATATGTTAACACCCGTAGTCATATGGATTGACATCACGCTTTAAGTGAAATAATAGTAATACACTACTTGTGATTATACTTAACTTCATTCGAAATCGAACTAAACTGCAGGACCTAAGTTCTATTCTTATTTTTCAAACACTGAAGTTAGGTATTTTTGTCATTAGTCCCCACAGATTTACCTATGACTAGGAGACGTAATCGCGTAACTTTAGGCAGATTTTTAGACTTTAATGAAGTACTTATAATTCACCACTTTTCTCGATGGAGTGTTCCTACAGAATTGCACTTACGTATAGTAACGAATTCATATCCTAGGGAGCACCGGTATAGCATCCCGTACTCCCAACGCGAACACACGAACAAAAAGACAACAATGTTAATAGGAAAAGTTTATTTTTATTGCAATACGAAAGTAGTTAATTTACACATTAAGAAAATGGTCCATTTGTGCCATTACTTCTCCCGCGTAATCTGCGGCAACCACATAGTGAGTGCAGAACAACTACATTGTTAGCATTAAATGACTTCCTCGCTTTTTGTATTTCTCATAATGAATTCTCAAAATCCTCCCAGCTGAAGAAACGCCTTCGCAGCATTACTTCACCGAAAATTCCACTAACGTGTGCATTGCCTACCTGCAATAAACTAAAAAGGCTTTGTCAATAAGTATCCATCTGTCTCTCAACTGTTTAAACATGATTCCATGGAAAAAGCAATATGGAAATACATCACTTAGCAATATCCATCAATAAAATGCTACACGTATAACCTAAAATTGAGAAAAGCCCAAGTACTCACGGGTTCCTTGACATCGCCAGCAACCGATAGGCCAACAAACCGAGTATATGATAAACCAAGCCTTGTATATGCACGAAAGAAGTAAAATAAAACGTTAGAATAATCAAATTTTACATTTATTCCCATCAAATATGCTTGTAAACAACGCATACCTCAACCACACAAACCTGCAACGACATCACCTAACAAGAACAAATTAAATATAAAATTAGCCGCCACTGTTCCAGCCAATGAAAGACGAGAAAACCTGAGGCGCGTAAGATTTAACACGCTATAACGGATATTATCACCCGTTAGAACAGGTAAGTTCCTTTGTTAACTGTAAAGTCATGATTAATGCATGTATTGACATGATAATTTTATTGGACAGTTTTGATTCGTTTATATATGGCTTATTTTACTGAGGTCATATAAACCAATCAGATTTGTTTGTTTATTTATAGCTTAAATTCCCGAGTTTTTGTAAATATGATAATACCATGTATTTTGTCTAATAAAGGGTATTGTAGTAGTTTCCAGTCTGACTTTTGTGTCTGTCTCAGTGTGGCATATGAATTCAAGCAATCACATGGTTATAGTATCGCGTCCTGGAGGTGCATTCTAGTCAAGTTTAAACGAAGACTACAAATCAGAGTTCAAACACGCACACTGTAGCACTACTCCAGTGTTGAAGAGAATGGAGGAAAAATACCTACTAACCGTCTTCAAAAAGAATGGATATGGTCACATTCTTTTTGCATTTTTTCCTTCACGTTCCCCAGTGGAACATAGGGCTTCAAGCTGGTGGCTTGAAGTTTCGTCAGCAGTGGTGTCTGTTTAATTGTTCGGGACGGGGTTGCTAGCCTCATGTCCAACCTTCCCTCTTCGCCAGCATTATTTCTGGCTTAGCGAGGTAAAGGAGTGCTCCGGCTGGGGATCGAACCCCGGACCATGTGCATGGTCGGCGAGGTTCGAAAAATGTTTAAACTCGAGTCCTAACACCAAAATGAAACCATCATCAAAGACTACAAGAAAATTCATTCCACTACATATGAAAAATATTTCTGAAGTGGCAGCGAGAATATGAAAACCATTTGAAGTAGATATAGTACACAAGCTAGCCAGCACAATCAACACATTTGATATTTTGCAAACCGAAAGATCCAACAGAAAAAGAAGATAAAATTAATATCATTTACAAAATAAATTGTATGAACTGTAACAGACATTACATCGGTCAAAGTGGGCGTCCCCTTCGAATCTGAATCCAAGAACACAAATCAGCTGTATAAAGACACGATATAAATTCTTTCATATCAATGCAAGTAGATAATTACGGACACCAATTCGATTGGGATAATGTCAAAATTTTAAACAGAGGAAACACCAAAAGTGTTCTCAGATAATTTCTAGAAGCCTGGTATTCAAGTGAATCAGCCAGCGATTAACAGAAACATTAATATAAACCAAATCAAAGTATCCACTACAGTCCTACAGGAGGTCAATCACGAGCCCGAATAGCTCAGTGGTAACGTCTCTGACTGCAGAACTGCACTGGATGACGCGGGTTCGAATCTCAGAAGAGGGGACATGAGTACCTTCAAGGTTGCAGATACGCCTTGCTGACTGGTGAGTACCAACTAGCACGAAACCTAGTTCACGCAAGGCTTCCTGTGGCCTATTGCCTCCAACCATCTAATATCATTATAGACCAAATTTATAAATTACTAAAAAGTAAATCAAATGACAGGAAAGTTCAAAATCAAATCAATAAAAATGATCAATAGAGATGTAAATCAGTTACCAGTCACAACAGTGGTTAATAATAATAATTTGCTTTATTCCAAAACAGTACTTGTGATGCAGAATGGAATTCTCAGCATTTTTACCACAGTATTGCATCCAGTTTGTACATTAACAATAAATAGAATTCTACATAGATTAAGGAAATCTCAGTTCATTACGACATCAACATATTGGCATGTCGGTAGCAAAGCCAAAGTTGAACAGAATGTTTGAAGGTGTTAGAAAAGAAACAAAGCAGCACATAACAGAGAAAAAGAGAGAGAGAAAAGGAAAAGAAAGAAAACGTTGTACCCATAAATGATATGAGTTGGAAAAGCGAGATCCAGTTGTTCTACTGACTATTTAATGAATTATAGGTGTCACGCTTAATGCTTTCTTTATCACACAGAACACGAGCTAAGTAGGGTATGGTTGAGTTTTGTACTTGCTAGTGCGAGCATATAGTTTTCTATATTGGCTTCTGGTTTTGTCTGATGAGATACAAGGGGGAAGTTGTGAATGAAGAGGGTGGTGTGAGTTAGATAAAATGGATTTAGCCCATGTTTCACATGAGTCCAATTGCCTGTCAACCAGAATATTAACAAGCTGGTTAAGTGGCACGTTGCTTACCCTGCTGACAATCTTTAACATCCTGCGTAATATGTTATAGTCTTTCTTCAGTATGTATGCTACCAAAACTTCGGTAGATGGTAGAACAGAGTTCGAACTCGTAACTCACTTGGTTGGAAGTCGATTGTTTGCACCAATGAACCACAGCTTGCTCAGGAAACAGAACCACATGAAAACGCATCCATCCACTTGAGCTAGAAATCTCCTCTCCCTCCTCCCCCTCCACTATTACTATTATTATTTTATATTTAGTGAATATTTAACCATTTTATTTTATTTTCCAAATTGTATATAAACCTCCCATACAGTTATGAATTCGATTTTTATGAAGACTTGGGTGAGGCTAAAATGTTTCGTTCTACAAATGATGATTATTTACACTCTGGATATGATCGTGGTCATTTAGCTGCTGCAGGAAATCATCGTCTCAGTCATACAGCTATGAGTCAAACGTTTATATTGAGTAATACTGCACCTCAGGTAGATACTGTTGAAATGTTTTATTTTTTTTATTATTCATTATTAAGGAGAAAGTACTTTGTTCCATTTTTTTAAAATATTTTTTATTTTTTTATTCCCTTACGTTCCCAGTGAACATAGGGCTTCAAGATAGAGGCTTGAAGTTCTCTATAGTAGAGCATCTCTCCGACCAGCGAGAAATCAAGTTGAAACAGTAAAGCTTGAAAAATCATCGGACATAGGTGGTCTACGCGCTACGCTATAGAATCAGGCCACAAAATTGATTTTGACAATATTGAAGTCATCATGCGGAAAAATTTCAGAAATCACAAAGAACGTCTAATATCAGCGGAAGCACTTCATATCATCAAATGGAATCCAAATTGTCTGAATAGGAATGATGGACTAAAACAGAATTTGACCTGGTTACAGCACGCCCCCACACCTCCCCCATGAAATGACAAAATCAACACGAATGTGATAAACAATTTCATTATGTAAACACATGCTGCTTTCATACTTTTACACACTTATCAAATCCAATAATCTACACTTGGTTTTGTTACCTTTACGAATTGGCCAACTTGAAAAACAGGTAAAAATGACCCCATGCTGAGGAACGATGATTAAGTCGCTGTATATATAAGCTGAGATTTTGTAAATTCTGGTTTAATATAATCACTACTTTGATAAAGCTACTGGAAGCAGCATTAAATAGAGAAACGTCATTAAAAAAAGCAGCAATATCGTTTTGTTTTTCATTCATTGGGAAATACAAAAAACCCTTGTTATAATGAATCAATAACACTTTGTCAAAAAAAGACACTCATTATATGAAGAAATCTATTTAGGTAGGGATAATGGGATTTTAATACAAAACTATTTTAGAAAAATAAGATAATTAATTACAAACATTTCTAAAAACAAATATTACATAAATAAACAAAATATTATAACAGAGGGATAAAATAAACACACAACATCAGTTGATACTACTAACAAAAGAAAACAAAACAAAATAAGGGAAAAAGAAATCTGTTTAGTTCATTAGTTTAGGGAAAAATTTCCAACCTGAAGCACTTTCTACACTTTCCACGGGGACTCTGAAACCATCTAAACGGATTTTTTCTGGTAAAGTAATATTAGGCATCACCCAAGCAACTTTACGCCATTGACCATTTGGTTTTTCTTGAATAGCGACTACTTTGAAAAAATGTGTAGGTACTGCAACATTATTTTCACCGATTACTTCATAAGTGACAATCTTTTTCCCGTTTATGTTTCTGAAAAGGAACATATTGAAAAATTAAGACGGGACAAAATGTGTTGATGACCTTTAGACCTTTAAAAAAAAAACAACTATCTATAGTTTGGTTTGTAAGGGTTAGTTTTGTTTTTACGAGTTGACCACGGATTGAAATCAGTTAGAGAACCACTGGAAACCACCACGGAGAACTAAACACTTGCTTTATCAGCCTAGTTTGGGATTCATCAGCAGCACGCATTCTCCACCAGGGTTCGAACCGGGGCCTTCCGGTTACAAGGCAAGCTCGTATACCATTCAGTCACTGGGCCACGATCCAATGGCTCATGAATTCTAACTTCTACCAATTCGTGATTTAGCGCGACCCCAACCATTGTCGTAGGTGGGACATCCATCCTCACACGTGACATCTGGATGGACCTCAGTGGTTACGACTTCTCACTAGAACTCCAGGAAGCTCCGTACTGCAGCAAGCCACTAGCTAGCATCAGAATTATTTTCAATAGTTGGTTCGTAAGGATTAGATGTGTTTTGACGAGTCAATCACGGATTGGTAGAAGTTAGAATTCATGTACTGGCGATTGAATCGGGAGGGGTCCTATTGGCTGAATGGTATACGAGCCACCTGCCTTGTAACCGGAAGGACCTGGGTTCGAAACCTGGAGACGGGTGCGTACTGCCGATGATTCCCAAACTAGGCTGACGGCCAGCTGTCCAGTACTCCCTGGTGGTTTTCAATAGTTCTCTACCTGATATCAATCCGTGATCAACTCGTAAAAAAAAACAACTATCTATGAAGTTATAATTTACGGTGGGTAGCTTAAATCATGAGTCTATCAAAACTTTGTATTGATTATTTTACTTTAATCTGTTGATCACTAGATGAACTCAAACATATTTCTAATTAAATTTCAACAAAAATGCTATACAGTTCTCGCAAGAAATGAAGAAACAGCACTGTATCACATGATATACTACAGATTATTATTTTACTTGTAGATTCTGTACGAAGAGGATTTCTCTACTATGGGCTAACACATATTGTCTGAAATAACGCTTTATTATTATTATTTCAGATTAGATCACGGAGTGATAACAGTTAGAGAACCACTGGAAACCACCACGGAGTGCTGAACATCTGTTTCGTCAGCCTAGTTTTAGATTCATCGGTAGTACGCAAACACCACCAGGGTTCGAACCCGGGGCCTTCCGGTTACAAGGCAGGTGGCTCGTATACCATTCAGCCACTAGGACCCGGTTCAGTGGCCAACCCATGAATTCTAACTTCTACCAATTCGTGATTTAGCGCGACCCCAACCAATGTTGTTAGTGGGACATCCATCCTCACATGTGACATCTGGATGGACCTTACTGGTCACGACTTCTCACTAGAACTTCAGGAAACTCCATCCTGCAGCAAGTCACTAGCGAACATCAGATTAATTTTCTATGGTTCCAGTGGCTGAATGGTATACGAGCCAGCTTGCCTTGTAACCGGAAGGCCCCGGGTTCGAAACCTGGAGACGGGCGCGTACTGCCAATGATTCCCAAACTAGGATGACGGAACATCTGTCCAGTACTCCCTGGTGGTTTTCAATGGTTCTCTAACTGATATCAATCCATGATCAACTCGTAAAAAAACAACTATCATCTATGAAGTTATAATTTACGGTAGGTAGCTTAAATCATGGGTCTATGAAAACTTTGTATTGATTATTTTACTTTAATCTATTGATCACTAGATGAACTCGAACATATTTCTAATTAACTTTCAACAAAATGCTGTACAGTTCTTGGAAGAAATGAAGAAACAGCACTGTATCACATGATATACTATAGATACTGAAGATTCTGTACGAAGAGGATTTCTGTACTATGAGCTAACACATATTGTCTGAATAAAAGCTTTATTATTATTTCGCATTAGATCACAAATTGATATCATTTAGAGAACCACTGGAAACCACCGCGGAGTACTGAACATCTGTTTCGTCAACCTAGTTTGGGATTAATCGGTAGTACGCAAACACCGCCAGGGTCCGAACCCAGAACCTTCCGGTTACAAGGCCAGCTCGTATACCATTCAGCCACTGAGACCCGACTCAACAGCCAGTCCATGAATTTTAAAGTCCACCAATTCGCGATTTTAGCGTAACTGGTACCAACCAATGTGATCGGTGGGAACTCCATCGTTACTCCCGACTGGATGGAACCCACTAGTCACGACTTCTCACTAGAACTCCAGGCAACTTCATCTTGTAGCCAGTCACAAGCGAGCATCAGATTAATTTTGAAGAGTTGATGTATACGACTTTGCCTTGTAACCGGAAGGTTATGGGTACGAACCCTGGTGCTGGGTGCGTACTGCCGATTACTCCCAAACTAGGCTGACGAAACAGCTGTCTAGTACTCCCTGGTGGCTTTCAATGGTTCTCTAACTGACATCAATCTGTGGTTTAACCTGAAAAAAATACAATCCTTACAAACTAATTCTTGAAAATTTTTTATTATTATTATTATTATAACTGATTTTTATGTGACTAAAACGAGAATCGGACGATCTAAAGAATAGCGACCACGTAGTGCGAGTGCATTAATGACCTTAAACGCATAACATTCGTTGGCTTATAGAACCTGCAGTTATTATAATTCCACTATGAACTCTTTGCATGAAGTGAAGTGCAAACTTCAAGTCGATCTCATTTTCAAGTACTAGTTGGATAATGGCTTGATTGCATGGTAGGGTTAGGGTGTTAAGGTAACGATTAGATTTAGAATTTTTAAACCTATAGATGACGATTGGGATTTATTTTTCCTGTAAACAAATAAACGCGAGGGTGGGGGATCGTTTTCTACAGAGATGAAACTTTATAACTGATACCGCTCATTGTAACTGGGATGTAGATATGATAGAGAAGATTTGTAACTCAGGTCGATGGTTTTTGATGTGCCTGTGTTTTCTGAGCTGGATATTTCATTTGCGAAGCTTTCATTGCCCTACTGGGCAACATCCTCAGAGCATACTTCAATTTGAAGTGAGCTTTTAGATTTCTCCACGGGTTTATCAGTCATCTCTCCTGGTGGGTGGCCTTGAACGCCGTGATTGGTTGTTTTTGTGTGTTTTCACACCCTCTAGGCTACTTGTATTGGAAATGATTGTTTCCTTGACCTGAAGTTTGACCATTTGTGTGTAGTATTTCCTACTTATCGATTGGTAAATTTTGTCTACCTCGGTGTGTCTATTGATTGACGATTCACTGGAATACGAGGCTTCTAAACATTCTAGCTTTAACATTCTTGGTGTTTCCTTTGTCTAATATTTGAACGTTGTCCCAGTCGAATTGATGTCCGTGGTTTTCTGTATAAAGTGATATGAGGGAGTGGATGTTATGTTATGGGCGCCATTGGGAATCATATTCAGCCATGTCAACAATAATCCCAAGCCATTTGGTTCTTAGCATGTCGAGGTCATTAACCAGTTATTGGACACCCCTTTGTGTAGCTAGTTCAAACCAGGAATCAAAGACTTCATGGACTAATCTCAGGTTATGGTTTGACCAACCACCTCTAACTTTACCAAACTAATTTTATATCAGCTCGTCGAAGAAGGTGGTAGCACTTTGCATGCGGCAACACATGTCTTAGCCATCTCAGTCAATGTAGCCTCACAAACTCATCGATTGACTTTCCCTCCTTAGCCAACACCCTACACCCAACCTCAGTATTACTCAACAAGGGGAAGAGGACACAAAAACCCATGGTCAAAGACAACTAGTCTTTACATATCCTCCACTGTTGACCATCATATCTAGCAGCAATGAAGAAGGACAAAGAGAACTGTTGAGCCGTCCACCCCACCCCCTTGGTAGATAGTCTGATATCACATCTACACCAGTGATGACATAACTTGGCAAATACCGCACAGGCCTTTTGTATCCATGCTGAAATTTGTCAGCAATTGGTCTATTAAGGCTGATGCAACTTCTCAGACAAATGAAATGGTCAACACGCTCAAACATTCCACTCTCTGGCTTTAAACCAGAAATCAATGTAGACTAGTCCTGTAGCAAGGAATAAAGAAGCAGAGCAACAGAAAAACGAATTAACCACAATGCTGTTATAGAACTAGAAGGGTGTTAATATCGCTTCAAAGTGAACTACCACTCTCTTTTTGTAATGAAATCAACTAAACGCATCTATAATAACATTAAATCATTTAATTAACAATATATATATTACTTACTGTGGAAGAAATAATGGTCCAGTAATTACAACTGTATTGTGTGATTTCCTGGCAATTGCACGTATATACTTTTCTAAACTATTCCAACCATGTCGATTGAAACCACGACCAACCTAAAGGTTAAGGGAAATAAAGTAAAAGTATCAATGAACGGTGTTCAACTCAATGCCATCTTTCCGTAGACCTCATTGCATAACTATTTGAATAACAAAAAACCTCGATACATTCTGAGAATCATGAGAAGCAACACTGAAAGAAAAGGATGTGGGGGAAATATATAAGAGGAGAGAAAATGGTTATGTTAAAACACAAAATTTAAAGAAAATACTTTTATCTACATTATATATTATTGTGCATCAGCAGTTCAATAGTAGGATGTTCACCGACTATGTACACGAGAGGTCCGTGGGTTAGACTGTCAGCCAACACACTCTTAAACCTTGCACAGTCAGTGTTTCTGTTGAAATGTTGGCCCCTAGTACAGATCCTTCAGCAGTGTCTGAAGAATAAAAGGATGTTACTTTTAATTAGTAGTGATTAGCAGTAAAAATGAGGATGCACATTTCGTCCTATTTTCGACTCGTCACCTGGATGAATCTGCATCCCTAGTGAGCGTTGGTATTCTCGACGAGACTTGAACCCTGCGTCCATTGTTTTAGAGGTGGACAGGTCATTTGAAATTATGGGTGCATAACGTAATCAGATGAAAGAGAGGATGAAAACAGCCAGTTACCAGAGCAAGGAAAGACTGATAACCGCTTCTTTCTGAACGCATAAATCCGGTTTCAGGTGCTTAATGATGGAGATTGCTTTCGCAAACTTAAGGAGAATTGAACTCTTTTGTCTATTGATAATTTTGAACGATCTTACGACATCCACCTCATGACCTGTGTCAAGGAGATACCTGGTAATGGCACTATTATAAGCGTCTGTTCCCTTGAGACGTAGGCTCTTCGGTGCATATTCAGAAAATCGGGGGTATGCCCTTCCTTCTGTTCTTCCAATGTAACTGCTCCCGCAGATACACGTAAATTTGTGTACATATTTCGAGTTAACATGAGAAGGATATCTATCGATTTTCGATTGCACCAAAGAGCGGGTTATTCGACAGATGCGAACCAGCTTAGCTGCAGAATAGGCTCTGCCTAGTGACGTCCTCAATCTTCTGTTGACAACTGCTGCTATATTTCCACCTTTAAAATCAAGTTGAATGAAGATGGGCTTTTTCTCACTGTCATTTGCATAACATTTGAGCATTCAGAAGGAAAGGCATATCTCCAATTTTCTGAACATGTAGCAAAACGCCTATATCTAAAGGGAACAAATACTTTAAACAGTACCATCGCCAGGCATCTCCGTGACATGGGTCATGAGGTGGATGTCGCAACACCGTTCAAAATTATCAATAAGCAAAAGAGCCCAATTCTCCATAAGTTTGCGAAAGCAATCTTCATCATTAAGCACCTGAAACCTGATTTATACGTTCAGAAAGAAGCGGTTATCAGTCTTTCCTTGCCCTGGTTACTGGCTGTTTTCATCCTCTCTTTCATCGTACAACCAAGTACAGGAACTCAACGATACCATACTTGGCCCGTGTTCTAAGCGAGAGAGACAATGTTAAGCGCGAAACCTATGACTTGCTTTGTTGTTAATAACATAATTTTAGGCTCTTTTATTTTTCTCTTATTTTGTATTCTTTAGAGAACTCCTTCTTAAACATACTTAGCTACCTAAATTATTAACATTGGCTTACTTTTTGTACTTTACTGTATTTCCTTCTTTTGTGTATCTACTGGTTCCGACTATATTAGCTCTATGAGTAGTACAAAATTTTCCTGTCATTAACTATCATGTAATTATTAGTTTTGTGGTTGTTTTTTCTTATTTTTTATTTTTTCGGCAATATTAACTAACAATCATTGGTTGTGAACGCCATTGTCACCACCTTAAAATTTTGTATTATGCAGGATTACTCACACTACCCACTACAAAACCGCATTAGACCTGACAATAAAAATCAAAACAACAAACCCTGAAATGTTATTTTATGAGTGTTTAGAGTTGTTTCAATCAAATTAACTGATCATCTTGGCGATAAACATTCTTAAATATCATTTCACAACTTCTTGTATGACTATAGCTTTACTGTCATCATGCATAATCATATCATAGCTTCCACTACCCAATACTGAGATATTATTTTATGTTGTTTATTTTCCTTTCTACTTCTTGGTATTTTTTCGCATTTTTAAAAAATTTCCTTTTGTGTTTTTTGCTGTTGTTGTCTTTATATATTTTTTTGAAGTACTCCTTTTAAATGTCTGATAAAATTAGATGCAAATATTGTAGATATGTGCTGAAAATTCCACACTGTACCACTAGTACTGTTTCTGGAATAAAGCAAATTATTATTATTATTGTTATACCGAAAGTTTCCGTTGTGTATGATTATTGTTTGGGATAAAATGACTATTATTATTATTAGCATTGTATGCACATATTGATTTTTTGTTTGAAAATTCTGATTATAGCTTGAAACTACACAGTACTTTTGGTACATGTATGGAATTTTCAGCACATGATATCGGTAGCCCAAATTTTGCAGGCCGACCATTGATATCAGGTGTGCGTCGCAGGGGATCGAACCCCGGACCATGTGCATGGTCGGCGAGTGTCCTAACCACTGTGCCACCGACTCACAAATGCAATTATGTTAAAATTGTTTCTGTAGATAAACTTAATAATGACTGTGGCCTGTAAGCAACTGGTGAGAAGCCAACGAAATAAACAATGATGGTACCAATTTATTCTGCAAAAATCGCTGTTGTTCTTGCTTTATTCAAGATGAAATCTTTGTAGATACTGCTTTCCGTTCTGTTACACAAAGATTAACTTTGTTTATCAAATATACACCAGTACGATTTCCCAGTAGAACGGTTAAGATTCATTTGTATTTACATACAATTAAAACGTAGTGATGATGGATATAACAAAGGCTAACATGTTTTTTTAAAGCCATATAAAATAATAAATAATCTTAACACAATAATTTTATTTTCTGGAAAACATTACATAACAATGGCAATTTCGTTATTTATTTGTTATTCGAGCATAGTGACAGTGAAAATCTAGTATGCATAAAAATCTCCGCATGACAAGTCATCGTCTTCCTCATCGAGAAATGTTAACTAGCATATAGGATTACGTTGGAAGAGAGTTAAGAGTGATCAAATCAAAACATAGCATCAACCCATGAAGTCTTTGGCTGTTAGTTGGGGTCCTTAGGACGACAAGAACCAATAGGTTGAGACTGTTGGTGATATGACTCACCCCTTATAGCCTCCCAAGTCCATTTAACCCTAATATTTCTTCATGTAATTACTCTTTCCCGTGAACATTTCAGTTCTGCGTTGAAAATTTAGTCAAAAAGGCATTGACAATGAATATACAGACGATATTGCCTTACTGTGTGAAAACAAAGGGAGAACTTGAATCGCATTTAGTGAAACGTCGATCAGTGCCTGAAAGTATGCTAAGTAAGTGATTTTCACTTTGTAGGTGAGAGGTTCCCTTGTAAAGTAAGCCCGTATCTGCGCGTTCATTGAGGTTGTTGAGTGAATCATTCAATTCACTTTTAGATTTCCCCGTCGATTGATTGGATCGAAGTGCTCGGTCTCAGGTTGACATGTCGACTTCTTGTGCAGATGCTTCAGCGATGTCTGGTCATGTGACTTGAAGTCAATTGGTGGATGGTGATTAGCAGTGGATTATAGGAAGCGTATTTCGTCCTATTTGGGACTGGGCACTGGGTTCGAGCCTCGGTGAGAACACCATCACTCAATGGGGAATGCAGGCACATCCAGCTGATGACGAGTCCCAAGTGGGACGAAATGTGCATCCTGGATTCCACTGCTAGTCACCATCCACCAATTAATGTTAAGTGAACCGTTTGAAGTAGGTAAAAAACTCGTCCCTCAAACTACCGAAGGAGTTATGTGAATCTTAGTGGAGGTGTAGTGTCTGCCACTGACAATAATGTTGTTGATGTCTTCTGCATCAGTGATGAACAGTGAAGCGAGGGATTAATTTGCAGAAAGCAGGGATGGAGGTTATTGTGGAAAAAAACATAGAAAAGCATAAAATGAAGACAAAATAGCAAAATTCAAATTTCAATGTGAAGTTTTTGGATTTTGCGACCACTGTACAGCATTTTGCCAAATAAATAATTCTCCCATCAAATATCAATGTATTCTGCTGGTTACAGAGGTATACTGGAAATTACTAATAGAAAATAGGAGCTAAGAATACTTTAATCTGGATTATTTCTTCTAGAGAATGTGAAGATGTTGATCTGATCGTCAAAGGTTCGGTTTACAAAGCTTCATATGAGAATTTCGTACTATGCTTACGAAATGTAACTTTTGCATGGTGAATATTTCCAGAAATCATCTAGTGCCTATGGAATATATAATTCTAATGTGAGACAATGAATTAATTTCGTAAATGGTGACTAGCAGTGGGATCCAAAAGGCACATTTCGTCCTATTTGGGACCCGTCAGCTAGATGTACCTGCATTCCCCAGTCAGTGATGGTGTTTTCACTGAGGCTTGAACCCAGTACCTGTCGTTCCAAACGCCAAATCCCTATACACTAGAAGTGTCAATCATTTGCTGGGAAACATTTTAGAGCAAGATGTATTGTTCACTATCTGATAAAAAGTGGATTTTACTGTGTTAGAATATCTTAATTTTATTCTTTTATCAGCATACCCGTTGAAGTATTCTTTGGGGGAGCTGTCATGTGGCTGTGATTTATTGATTTAGGCGCTCATCTTTCGACCAGTGATTCAATGATCCGAACCATGATGCACCTACCAAGATTTAAGCAACCAGGTTGTTAATTCCTTTCCTATTTACCCTTTGTCATTATTTCTTTCGTTTTAAAATTTATACTACTTACCAGTAGTAAGTAGTATTGGTTATATTTTTTAAATTTACAGCGGTAACTTAATTCGCTGTTGAAATTTAACTCACTTCAGGTGTTAATACTCCATTTGACATGAGGTAATTATTTTCTTATAGTCAAACATTATCTGCTCTATCTGCTTTATTACTATACCCTCCTCTGTTAAACACTGTTTCATTTGAATCCCTTATATTCTGTGGCTGGCATTTGCGCGCTGTTTAATCTTACCGTAGATCGCCTTTGACACAGCTTTGCTGTTTTTCTTATTGACGCACAGTGATTGTGCATTTGATGGTATTCAGCCACAGACATCTCACAGTTTGAGGTTTGAATATTATATTTCATTATTTTATGTATAATATAGTGCTGTAAACTAGATGAATCCTGTATTTTTACATTTCACGCGTCATTCAACGTGTGATTTAATTAGGTCGATTGGATTATCGCTCCGGATTTCTTGGAAGAAATCTACACAGTAAGTAGCAAGTAGCATTCGCTAGCCGTTAAACACAATAGGTGTGGCATATATGGCAAACTGTATGGAAATGCAAGTGAGTTTTGATTAACATCTCATCCTGATTTTTTGTTTGTTAAAATCAATTTGAGGTTTTCCCGTCGATTGATTGGACTGAAGTGCTCGGTCTCAGGTTGACATGTCGGCTTCTTGTGCAGATGGTTCCACGATGTCTGGGCATGTAATTAGAAGTTAACTGGTGGATGGTGACTATCAGTGGAGTCCAGGATGCGCATTTCGTCCTATTTGGGACCCGTGGTCAGCTGGATGTACCTGCATTTCTCAGTGAGTGATGATGTCCCCACCGAGGCTCCAAACCAGTGCCCACAGTTTGAAACGCCAAAGCGTTATCCACTAGACCAATTGGGACACGAGAGCCACCTCTTGTGAAACGGGTCATATTAATTATTTTATTCAGTTTTAGATTTTCCTGTCGATTGATTGGACCTGAACATGTCAACCTGAGACCGAGCACTTCGGTCCAGTCAATCGACGTGACATCCCATTTACAACCTGTATTGTAATCTAACCAGCCCATTCAAATTACATTGAAGAATACGGCCTTCAGAGAATATATGGAACTAAAACACCTACCTATCTTGAGCTATAGATATTCTTTACCATTTTTTATATTCATAATTAGCGGAAGGCTAACTGACAGTGGCACGCGCCAGATGATCCACAACGTAAAACTCAGAGAAGCGTTTGATGTGGATACAGGAGTAAGACAAGATTGCCTGTGGTGAGAGCTGGCTGCTAGCCAAAGTTGGTAGACAGTAATTGACGTCAATGTTTATGTCCCCAATATTGGTGGTGAGAAAATGAGAACAAAGGCTTTGCGTAGGCGGATACAGTTAGCATATGGATGATCTGACACAGCCACAAACAGATGCAAGGTTAACTTTCTGTGAGAAACAACCAATCAAAAGACTGTTTTTTTTCTACTAACAATAATCTACAATAATGTACATTAAAATCTATAAATATGTGTTGATTTTCCTTAATAAACGATCTGTTGCCTGACCCTTATCTTCTGTTGTTACATGCCTATTACACCAATGACATTCATAACTGTGATGAACTGGATTATGCATCAGACTGTAAGGAGAGAGAAAACAGGGATAAGGCTGGACTGACAAGAAGATCTGAATTTCAAGAATAAATCATTTTTAATGCCACACAAACTCGAATATATACAGGTGAAAACCACCAAACTGGCTGAAGAAGCTGGCAGTAAAGGCAGGACTTCATGTGAACATAGAGAAGACGGAGGTGATGAAGGTAACCAACCAACCAACCAATCAATCAGCCAACGACAACAATCGATCAGTCACCATCGACGGAATTCGAAAGAGGTAACCTCCTTCACTTATCTGGGCATCATCGTTTCAACTACAGGCGGAACACATGAAGATGTCAAAGCCACTTTCATCACTCCGAAATCAGTGTGGAAATCTTCCACAATCAGCATAAAGAACACGATTGGGATTTTCAGCACCGATGTTAAGTCAGTCAGTTCTTCCTATATGGGTCAAAAAACTTGTTGCATCACAAAACGCATTTTGAACAGCCCACAGCAGATTTTTATCAACGGCTGCCATCTCTGGTTCTGTAGTGAAGATCAAATGGTTCGAAAGAATCAGCCGCTTCTTCGTCACTGTGTCCTTCGTTCTGCTATTCAATATTCCTGTGGAGAACATCACACACATAATATACTACTTAGAAAATCTTGTCAATAGTACACGCCACAGTAGTCCTATGAAAGGTTCGCTTATTGTACACGCTTATTTTACTAAAGAAAACCTCTGGTTTGTTTGCATGAAGCTGTAGAACTTTGCACAGAAGTAGAGCAGTTCACAATTTGTCACACTTCATATTAGCACAAAATAAATCCAAAATAACTATGATGTGAACAGAAATGTAGAGAAGGAAGAATAGGTATGTGGATGATACTAATAATGACGATTTAATGGGTCTAGGCGATTAAAAAGAGTAAATACATCTTCGCCATTGAAAACAAAGCTTGAATCATATCACACCAACAGTCACCAGCCATTTGTTTATGCATGAAGCTACAGAGTATGGTAATAAAATCAACATAAATCAGTTTACCCGATGTCAATTCATCCGGACTAGGCTATCGGGTTGCCTCATGTGTTACGTATGCCTAGTCATCGCCTTCCTCGACCAACGGACAATGTTAGCTGATATAGGGTCAGACTAGAAAAGAGCTAGTGGTGGTCAAACCAAAACATGGCTTCATCAGTCAATGAAATCCATAACAGTTAGTTTAAGCCAGCCACGTAGGAAGGTGTAGACGACTTCCTGGTTGGGGTCCTCGAGACGGTAGACACCAATGGCTGGAGACAATCGGTGATATAGCTCAAACTCATCGTTCTCAATGGCTGGTGCAGATGTATCCACTCCTTATTGCTATTCCTTTTGTCTCATATCCCTATCTACTGTCATTATTTTGCATTTCTTCTGCTTTCTTCTCTTGCTTTGTGTGCTACATGGAAGGGAGTGTGGCGACTTGGACTGCTGCACATCAGTGCAAAGTTCCATGTTGAAAACAGACAGATAGACAGACAGACAGGCCGGGTTGCCTAGGCGAAGTGAGGTTATAATCACGGGTTCACTGAACAAAAGTCAAGCGCGCTTAGACCAACAAAAAATTGTTGTCTCCATAGGTTATTGAAAGGAAATCTATCACTTTATTTGAGAGGTTACAAATAATCTTCAATACAGCCATACTTCTTTAACTTTATGTTGTAGATGGAGAATATTGCTTGTGTTCAATTGATAGCTGCTAACTTAATGCGGTGGGTGACCAGGATTGCATATAGCAATGACCCAATGGGTTATATTCGCTGGAAATTATGGTCCTCTACACATCCTACCATAACAGAAAGATTGTTTGTATAGTGGCTAGATTAAAAGCAATTACCACAATAGAGTAAGTCGTTTACTCTATGTTGGGGGAGGGGGGGTATGTGGGCGAGATTGTCCTGCTGGGGAACAGGGATGTAACAGCAGGAAGGTGTTTCCTTCAGATGACTAGCAAGCCAGCTATGCTGCCTCTCCATTCACAGAAGGGAGATGGGGGAGGGTAGAACAGGTCAACTCCAAAAACTGTACATGTTGACTCGCGTTGAGGTGGTCCGTAGCCGGCGATAACATTTCAATATGGACACAACTCCAAAAACAAGCTCAAACAGGTTGTGTAGTGTGACTGGACTCAAACAGTTGCCTTCTGGACCCTGAAGTCAGTCTAACACAACACTAATGCTCCTTCTGTTCACTTGTACAGCATGTGGCTTTCTACTGGTAATCATCCTGAATATGCATGCATAAATGAAACGGCACAGCGGTAGAGTGCTCGCCGACCACGCAGGTGGTCCCAGGTTCGATCCCCGGCCGACGTACTCCTTTACCCCACTAAACCGGCAATAAGACTGGTAAAAAGGGAAGGTTGGGCATGAGGCTAGCAACCCCATCCCGTAAAAGTAATCACCACTGCTATAGAGAACTTTAAGCCTCTAGCTTGAAGTTCTATGTTCACTGGGAACGTAAGGGAATAAAAAAATAAAACATTTCAACAGTATTTACCTGAGGTGCAGTATTACTCAGTATAAAGGTTTGACTCATAGCTGTATGACTGAGACGATGATTTCCTGCAGCAGCTAAATGACCACGATCATATCCAGAGTGTAAATAATCATCATTTGTAGAACGAAACATTTTAGCTTCACCCAAGTCTTCATAAAAATCGAATTCATAACTGTATGGGAGGTTTATATACAATTTGGAAAATAAAGTAAAATCGTTAAATATTCACTAAATATAAAATAATAATAGTAATAGTGGATGGGGGGAGGGAGGGGAGATTTCTAGCTCAAGTGGATGGATGCGTTTTCATGTGGTTCTGTTTCCCGAGCAAGCTGTGGTTCATTGGTGTAAACAATCGACTTCCAACCAGGTGAGTCGTGAGTTCAAACTCTGTTCTACCATCTACCGAAGTCTTGGTAGCATGCATAGTATCACTAGCTCTCTCTCACACAACAGATTGTGATTCATTCCCACCTGCATGCAATCGTAAGTGGTTGTTCAGTAAAATTCATTTTTTTCATGTGTTTCCTATGCCAGGTGGTTTAACTGTGAGGCTTTCATACTTACTTTACTTTACTTCGGCTATCTCCTACGGGAGGATGAGCCGGCTTCATGATCATCTCGAATAAGAGAGTTCATGAAGTTTTATGGGAGTTTGGTACGAGTGATGTCCCCAGAATCGCTCGGCCTTTTGTTTGAGAGTGCAGCTCTAGCCTTTACACAACCAAGTGTGACTTACAAGGCAGTTGGAGTGGGGTAGGGAGTCCACTATCCATTGGCAGCCGGTGACCGGAGTTCGGTTCATACGCCTTTTTGAATGGGGCCAGACATCCAGGACATCCAACAAGACCTTTGTCCATACGTCTGCCGGTGAGCTCCAGTGAGCTTCATGCGCCAGGCTTTCATAGCCTTTCTAGATAACATCTTCAGCGTAGACTTCAGTATGAAGTGAGTTAATTTAAATTCTCCATAAATGACAGAATTGTCTGCCTACTATGATCGATAATCTTCTTGACTGTGCTGGACTAGATCATGGGGCAGACAGTGGGGAGTTAGAACACAGGCATACGTTGAACCGACAAAAAGATGCTAGAAGATTTAGACTTCACGGATGGTTTATCTATAATGTCATACAAACTTGAAGATTTACATGAGAAAACCAACAAATTTGGAGAGGACTCCAAGGTGAACATAGGGGAGACAGAGGTGATGAAGATTTCCACCTAACAATAACAACAACAACAACCATCAATCACTATGAACGAAAAAAACCTAAAGGAATCCGTCTGTTTCACTTCCCTGGCACCTAGGCATCATCTTTGGAGCTACAGATGACGGCACGAGTGGAGATATTAAATTCAGCCAGGATTGTACTGAAATAAGCGTCGAAATCTACATCACTAAGCACAAGGAACACGATCCGAATTTACAACATCAATGTCAAGTCAATGCTTCCATATGGTTCACGGAGTGGAACAAATGCGAGTAGGATATTGGATGGTTGGAGGTAATCGTCAGGAAGCCTTGGACTTAGGTTTCCTGCTAGTTGGCACTCGTCAGAAATGCGTAACTGCAACCTTGAAGGAACTCGTGTATCTCCTGAGATTCGAGCCCGTGTCACCCAGTGCTGCAGTCAGGGACGTGACCACTGAGCTATTCGGGCTTTGAGCCCGACTGATTGACCGCAGCACTGGGTGACGCAGGTTCGATTCTCAGAAGAAGGGACATGAGTTCCTTCAAGGCTGCAGATACGCCTTGCTGACGAGTGACAACTAGCAGGAAATCTAGGTCCAAGGCTTCCTTCCGATTGCCTCCAGCCATCTAATATCAACAATTCAAAGTGCACCGTGATGGCAAGCCACCTACTGGCATGGTGGCCACATTGCAAACCTGACTGGTAGAATTCAGTTTGCACCAAAGAAAGGACTAGACACATCACACTAGTTACTAGTGTCCAATCAAAGTAAATGCGAGTTTAAAACGAAAGACTTAAAGCTGTATGCACATGAAACAGGTATATGGAATGTTATACAACCTGTTGGTGTTGAGAATACTGAGAAAATACATCGCACTGATCAAGGCACTCTACACTAACTCATACAGCCAGGTGAGAGCCTACGGAGAGTTGTCATCTGAAGTGGTGACAACCAGTGGTGTCTATCAGAGATGCCCACTGTCTCCATTTATGTTTAATTTATTCACAGGTGTACTAATGGACTTAACCCTAACTGACTTCAGAGACTCAGGGATTGACTTGTTACCAGGGAATAATCTCGTTGACTTAGAATATACAGATGATATAGTCCTGTTCCTAGGTGGAGACACTGACAAAATGCAGTCTTCTGAATACCTTGAGCTGAGCAGCAATCTTCGAATGTTTGGCATGCAATTCGCTTCCGTCAAATGTAGGATAGTGCTATAGGACTGAACTACATTGACTCCTAGCTTAGAATTAGGGAGTGAATTGGTTGGTGGAGCGTGCTCGCCAACCACTTCACTTGTTTGGGGAGTTGCATCAGCCAGTGCCAGCGGGTTGATCGCTGACGAAATCTCAGTACGGATACAGAAGGCTCGTTTCGCATATGGCCAGTTTACGCCATCTCTGGCTTAGTAGACGTGATATCCAGCTGTCGACCAAAGGGCGTATGTACTGCTCAACAATTCGCTCTGTTCTCCTTTATGGCTGGCTGTGAGACATGGGCATTGAAAATGGAAGACATGAAAAGGCCGGCTAGCTGTCTTTGATCATAGGTGTCTGCGTTCTATCTCCCGTGTGAAGTGGTATAATAAGGTGAGCAATATTGAGGTTAGGCGTCAAATGTTAGGTAAGAAGGGGAATTAATCGACGAGGCTGTGAAGTTACACCGATTGAGATGGTTAAGACATATGTTCCGCATGCTTAGCCATCGCCTTCCTCGACGAGCAATGTTAATTGACATAGGGTCAGGTTGGAAAAGAGCTAGTGGTAGTCAAACCAAAACATGGCTTCATCAGTCAGTGAAATCCACAACAGTTAGTTTAAGCCAGCCACGTAGGGAGGTGTAGACTGGCCCGGCTGGATGGGGTCCTCGGGACGGTAAACACCAATGAAGGCTGGAGACAATTGGTGATATAGTTCAAAATCGTTCTCAATTGCTGGCGGAAATGCATCCACTCCTTGTGTTTTATAATATCCAATAAAATTCTATTGTTCTTCCATATTACTAATCTTGTTGCCTCATATTTCTGTTTATTATCTCTCTTTACTCTCTTCTCTTGCCTTGTGTGCTACAATGAGGGCGTGTGGCAACTTGAACTGGTGCACATCTGTGCAAAGTTCTCCGTTGAAACCAGTCAGTTGGTCAGTCACCTGTTGCGGTGATAAATCATCGACCTATACGTGTTAATGGTAACAGGGCACAATTAAAAGTATCATTTAAAACTAAACAAACAAACCAACCAACAAACAAAACAAAACAAAAACAAACCGATCTACTCCAGCCTTGTTAATATCCTCTTGATTCAATTTAGCAGGATTCATATGCTCTACAACCCAGTAAGGTATTCGATTACGACGATCATATGCACAGATATAACCTTCAAAAATACGTAAATGACTTGGTACTGGTACACCCAATGTATGAACAGCTTCATTATTTATTACAGAGTTTGGAATGTCCACAACAGGAGGATAAAGTATTTCAGCTGCATTTACAGACTGTGGAAATAAGGAATAGTTTGGAAACTTTTTTTCTTGAATAAGATAATGTGCTGTAATCGTTGAACCGATTGTAATGTAAACACCAGCTTTCAGAATTTCAGATTTACTCCAATAATGATGTAACCGGGTTAGAATACGATACATGTCAGTATGTACAGGGAACTAGAGACTTAATAAAACCAAAAAAATAAATAAATAAATAAACTATTAGATGGAAAGCACCAATTTATCGTCCAATAAAGATAAATTTACTCTCATTAATGCCACAAAGTTAAGCGAAAACTAATCATAAACATATGCTTTCCAAATGGGGCTAGATATCCAGAATTCACCAGGTGTTCTGTTATCGAACTGTATACCCCTTTGCGTTCTCCCTTTGCTAGCCATACTGGATAGCTAGCCTAGAAAACAACTTCTTATCATCAACTATCGACGACCTTCATCTCTACAAGAGATACATCGATGATACTTTCATTATTTGTGTGATGAGAATTGTGATCTAAAAAAACCTACTTCAAATCTTCACTAACGCCCACCCAAACATCGACTTCACCCTGGAAGTTGAGTTTAACTCAATGTTTCATTCCCTCGACGTTCAACTACAAAGGAATGCAGACAACTCGCTAAGAAGATCCATCTACAAAAAGCTCACATGGAACGGACAGTTTATTAACTTTTAAAGTTGTGTGCCTCTAAGCAGAAAGAGAAACCTAATATACTCTCTTTCCTCGAGGATCCGGAAGATTTGCACTGAAGAGTTAATCGATGAAGAATTACAAAATCTCCGAGGGACCTTGATAGAAAATGGATTCCCACTCAGATTCATAGACAAGAATCTAAAACCAAGGAAAACACGTGAAAAGGTCCAAGTCGCCCCAATAAAGATGCTGATATTGAACCTCGAAATTAAAAGTGATACCGAAGCAGAAATTCTCCGGAGACGGCTTTCGAAGTCTCTCAGTAAAACATACTTCGCCGCCAGCCTACGAATAACATTCTCCTGATAGACAAGCTGTCGCATTGGGCCACTTCAACATGTATATACAAGTTCACTTGCTCGTGTGGAGTCGAATACATTGGCTGTAACATGCGTCCGGTTGTAAAACGCGCGCGGGAGCACTATCCAGCATGGCTAGCAGAGGGGTATACAGTTCGATAAAAGAACATCTGGTGAATTCTGGACATCCAGCCCCATATGAAAAGTCCTTCAAAGCCATATACAAGATCCGATCCAACCTACCAAAGGGAGTGAAATCAAGACATCTAGGAATAGCTGAGGCACCGGTGATCCAAAATCTCAAGCTTACTCTATGTGTCCAAAAGAAATATGTTCGATTTTGAGCTATATCACTAATTGTCTCCGGCCATTGATTTTTACCATCCCGAGGAAACCAACCAAGAAGTCTACACCTCCCTACGTGGATGGCTTAAACTAACTGTTGTGGATTTCATTGACTGATGAAGCCATGTTTTGATTTGACCACCACTGGCTCTTTTCCAGTCTGACCCTATATCAGCTAACATTGCCCGTCGGTCGAGGAAGGCGATGACTAGGCATACGTAACACACACAGTACCACTAGAAAACCATGGAGTAGTGGGTAGCTGTTTTTTCCTAGCTTCGGGACTCTTCATCAGCACGCACCCATCGGGGTTCGAACCCTGAACTTCCTAGTTACAGGGCAAGCCCGTAGACCTTTCAGCCACTGGTCCAGCCTGAACCAGTGGCCCATGAATTCCAACTTCTGCTGATTCGCGATACAAATAGCACAGCGACAGTCAATGCCAAAGGCGAGCAACTGTTCGCCAACCTGACTTAGTAGACCTCGCTGGTTACGACTTCTCAATAGTACTCCAGGTAACTTCCTGTATAGATCCAATCGCTAGTAAGTATCAGATTAATTACCAAGTGTTGGTTTTCAGAGATTTGACCGGTTACAGGTCTGACCACAGGCTGAAATCAGTTAGAGACCCATTAGAAAACCAGAGATTACCGGACAGCTGTTTTGTCCTAGCTTGGGACCCTTCATCAGCAGGCAGTGGACGAACCCGTAACTAATCAAATCCCTGGGAACTAACACTTGATACAATGATCCTGAAAAATACCATTAAGATTTAGAAGTATCTATTACAGACTACTTCCCGAATTTCCAGGACACAAACATTATTATATTATTACAGAAAGCCACTAATACAATGCAATACTTCAGCCTCATTAAGTGATTATGATTCTTATTATTTCCTTATTAGTTCAAAGACTGCTTTGCTTATTGGGTGGGATACAAACAATATAATAATGACAATTAGGTATGGGGTCAAGTATTCAGACTAGACTATAGTGAATTTGCCGGTAAATAAGGAGAATTGACAAAAACTACACATCCTAGCACACCTGACTACGGCTCGTCACAAGTTCCAACCCATTAATTTGCCATGGTAAGCCTCCACCCAGCGCGTCAAGATATTCCTCAACGCCAAGAATGTGATAACACAAAATATATAAATAAATTGTAAGTGTTGGTTTACAGAAATTTCAATTTCGATCACAAACGGACTTCAGTTAGAGAACCACAGCTGTTTCGCTTCTTATTCGGGACTATTCATCAGCACGCATCTATGGCCCGTCAGGCAGGATGACACTGCCTGGAGTTCTAGTGGTACTCGTGGTTGGACGGGGGGGGGCTAAGAAAAACACTCACTAATGACATTAGTTGGCAGTCGCTAGTTAGAACTGATGGGCCATTGGATTCCGTCCCAGTGACCGGAATGGTGGCAGACCAACTCGTCTTGGGTTCGACTCCTGGTGAGGTTATTATTGCCTATTGTCAAAGAGTTCCAAATAAGGATGAAACAGGCGTCCAATAGTACTCATAGGTTCTCTAACGGAAGTCGATTTGTGTTCAAAATTGAAGGTATGTATAAGCTGTAATATTTCACAACTAAACTATTTGGACGTAACTAATAATTCATTCACATGACATTCACAACATCAAACTTGACTGTCAAAGCGAACTTCTGAATTCTCATGAAATCAGTCATTTTACGTGAACAATTAAAATGAGACAAAGTCCAGAAAAAAATAATCTTTATTTCAGTAATTTTTTTGGAATAAACTCAACAAACATGTACATTTTATATATAAACAGTTTATAAGAAAATGGTTTCATGGTTAAAATATACAAAAAGAAGAGAAAACTTTGTTACATTTCTGAAGGGGTGAAATAAACAATAAGAGTTTATTATCAACGGTGCTGCATAAGTTCTTCTTGCAACTTGATCATCCGATCAAGATGATTTACACCTTTTAAGGATGTTGACGATGATGCTGATGCTGAGGGGAATTTAGAAACTGACTTAGTCGTTGAAGCAGTTTCACTTCGATTGGATGTTGTTGATGTCAGTTGTTCAACATGTTCTCTGTAAGTGAGAGGTGTAGACGGTTCCGAAGACCGAGATGAAAATGAAATCCCACTGTCATTACTTCGGTTAAACTTGGTTGAACGCTTTGAAGAGCATAAACCTTCATTGGCACCTAAAAATAGGGAGAGCGGGGGAGGAACAACACAAAAGTCTTTGGTTAGCAATGATAAAGCAAATTATGAATCCATATTAGATAAGTTTAGTTTAAATATCACACAGCGATGCAGTATTAACAACTGGATGACGTCTCGAGCATAAATTATTGCCACTCAAAATCATATCAATTTTAGTTATATGGTTTTGAAATTTGTCTTATATATATTTTCTCCCTTTCTGTCCATCCAATTTCCTTGCTGAAGTGAAATTGGGAGTGGAAGTATGTGGGCAGTTGTTACTTCCCGGTTGGCCACACTGTGGAAGTTGATAGGTTCTTCAGGTTCCTGAAGCAGAAAGCGAGTTGGTGTTGAGTGATCACAGAGCCCAACGGACAGCTGCTTGAGGCCGGTCACACATGGCCTGTATGAACTGGCTTTTAGATTTGGTTCCGTATTAGTAAACTTATCACCGGTTACGGACCACTATAGGTGGGGTAAGTCGGGATGTACAATTTTCGGGGTCAACCTTTTCTAACCCTCTCTCTCCAGAGTGGAGACAGTATAGCTGGCTGGCATGCTGGTCACCTGAGGGAAACACCTTACTGCTGTTACATCCCTGTTCCCCAGCAGTACGACTTCGCCAACAGACACCCAGCATAGTATTAAAAAAATTCTTACACTGTGCAGGTAACTGCTTTTAATCTAATCTTTAAATATTTCCATTATTAATATTAGAACAAGACATAAGTAAACAACTTGGTTTTCAACTAGATCTTCAGGCTTTACTCTAATTTACATAGATTTATGTATAAAAATTCTAACCAATGACAGTGATTTTGTGGATAAAATAATAATAATGATAATAGTAATAGTAATGTGGTAAATGTTTTGAACGTCATTAATAATGATCATTATACTGATAACAAAATAATGATAATAAGGTTTATGCAGGTCACCATCAGAATAATGAAGGCGGTAGTATGTGTGTATATGTAGACAATTCAATAAATAAATTAGGTCAAATCTTGAAAGTTACGTAATACTAAAGGTGAAGTGGACAGATAATCAGAGCTTAAATAAATATCATAAAAGTACGAAGGAAATGGTAAATAAGAAGGGGTGGGAAGGTTTTGATTAGAATTTACCTAGGCCAAGGGAGAGACAGAGGTAGAACAAACTTCTTTTACTGTATGCAAAGACTAGGATTGTTCTCTTGACTTCCCATGGCTTCAGCTATGTGTAAAAGGCGGGTTCGAATTCCGTTCGAAAGGCTCAATGGAATGCGATAGACAACTTTGAAGGCACTACTTATGTCCACTTGGTGACTGCTACCAATCAAATGGGTCAAAATAGAACTTCTTATAGGTTTTATTTGGCCTTTTCCAAACCATGAAGGAAGATGCTCATTAATACGTTTGTTAAGCTGTCTAGTTGTTCGCCCTATATAGCTCTCTCCACAGGAGCAACTAAATTTGTAGATACACACAGAAGTGGCACAGCTAGGTAACTTGTCTTTCGCTTGAGCAACAAAGGGTAGCTGCAGTATAAGTCCGTTTACTACTCTTGATAATCTTAGATGTAAGACTTCACTAGCCACGTCCCCATTAAATTGCAATTTTAGGAACAGTTGTTTCTTTTTAACTGTTGTCAGTTTCTCTTTATTATATCTGGTGTTCATGTGTCTCTTACAAATCTACTAGGATAACCCATTTGGACAAAAGTATTTTGGATGTATCCTAATTCATTTTCTAGGGTCATTTGCACAGATTCGTCTTGCTTTATGGGTGAGGCATCTGACCAAATTGATTTTATATCGGATTGGTACAAAACTGAAGGAATGTGCGTACCGTCCTACAGATGTAGGTTTTCTATAGACATCTCTCTTGAGTGAACCATCCTCTCTTCTGCTCGACTGAACATCAAGGAAGTGTAGTCTATTATTGTGTTCTTCTTCACAAGTGAAGAAGAGCGATGGATGCACATCATTAGATTTTACTAACATTTCATTCTTGTCAGCTTTCTCATCAAGAATAATAAACGTATGATTAACATAACGAAAATAAGAATCCGTTTTATCTATTACTTGTTTCAATGGACCATTTTAGGCTTTGATTTGTGAATAAAAAATAGGAGAAAAACTTAATGTAATGGGAAAAACAAATTAGGATTATTTCCGTTCAAATCTCATCAGGGTCAACAGTTAGATGTAACGCCTTTTTGATAATGTGTACACGCTCCCATAAAAGATCTGGCACGGATGAGAATGGGTAGACTTAGGTTGTTCTCTCGAAATGCTCTCATATAGCCAGCTCAAGTTACATGGAGTGCGTTAACTCCAACTGCTACACTTTTGTGCTAAGTTCTATGTTGAAACCAGTCAGCCTCTACCAAGTGTTTTATTCCCTGGGAGCGTTCCTTACAAGGGGCGAATAAGAGCGTTTGGCACTTAAAACCAGATTGGTAGACATGATGGTCTCTACCTGGGGGAGCTGTAAAACTCTGATTCCAAACCCATAGTAGACATGGGCTCCAGAATCCGAACGGATTGAATGGCATTTGAACCTGTTTTAATCACCAGTAACCATGGAAGAGTAGCTCTATTGACTTGTGGACCAGACCAGGTCAAAAACTCGGGAAGTCGCTCAGTAAGATAACTACCTGCTTTGGTCTGGGAGTCCGCACAGTGTTCCAGTCCTCGAATAAACCATGGGATTTTATGAGATGCATTTTTTGTTGTCCATAATGTCCCAAGTTTGTTTTTTTTTTCATTTACAGCTCGATTCCACACCGTATTTTCAGTACAAGTATGGAATTTTCAGCATGGATATCGGTAGCCCAGATTCAGGCCGACGATAGATATCGGGTGTGCGTCGGCAGGGGATCGAACCCCGGACCATGTGCATGGTCGGCGAGAGTCCTAACCACTGTGCCACCGACGCACAATAATAATAATAATTTACACCTAAGTTAAAGAGACACTAGCAAACATACCCAGAAATCAGGAGTTAAGACAATTACATTAATAAGAATACTTCTGTGACGTCGGTCTGACTTTCTCAGTCGTTGATTACATTATAAACATCGACAGAAAGCTACAATACCCAGTGTTTCTTAAAAAATAACCTTGAACTTAATAGTGTTTGATTACTTAAACTTCTGCTGCAACTGGCAATACGTGAACTGTACACAATATTCCCCAACAGACTCAGTTGACGAAAAGTTATGAACTGATATAGTAATTTTCCTGCATTGGCTACTAGTGACAGTCTAACAGCGCTTTGGCGCATATTGCCTTAAGTCTCCAACCAGCATGTGATACTTACTTTTTTACTTTACTTCGGCTATCTCCTACGGAAGGATGAGCCGGCTTCATGAACATCTCGAATCATCGCTGCCCACGCGCGGCGATCTGTTGCAAGGTTTTGCGACAAGGTAAGAGAGTTCGTGAAGTTTCATGGGAATTTGGTACGAGTGATGTCCCCAGAATCGCTCGGCCTTTTGTTTGAGAGTGCAGCTCTAGCCTTTACACAACCAAGTGTGACCTACAAAGCAGTAGGAGTGGAGTAGGGAGTCCACTATCCATTGGCAGCCGGTGACCGGAGTTCGGTTCATACGCCTTTTTGAATGGGGCCAGACATCCAGGACATCCAACAAGCCCTTTGTCCATACGTCTGCCAGTGAGCTCCAGTGAGATTCATACGCCAGTCGTTGGAGGTTTGGAATCAGGGTTTAGCCATCTCCCCTAGACTGTCATCCAATGGACAGTCAACCCGGTGAAGAGCGCCGGGCATCCGCTTTCGCCCTCTCACTTTGGTGAAAAACACCTCCGCCACGTGAAGGCAGTGAGTAGGACTTCCTCAGGAGAGGCTATGTAAGACGCCCGGTCATATGGGAGCATTTCAAGAGGTGTGCGGAGGGGTGGCCAACCCGCAGTGCAAGGCACCCGCCCCCGACCATCCTGAGGTTTTGGATGTCAAATGTGGTACGATTTAACTACAACTTGAAAAAGGTATACCATTTCCAGTAACATTTGAAGTGCGTGTAGTATAACTGCATCTAGTCACAAAGCTTTCATTCCTTCCATGGGACAAAAGTCGATGGCTTTCCTCAGAATTACTAACTTAATCAAAAAAAATAATAAAACTATCATTGACAGAGGTTAGTCGAGTGGAACTGAAACTCTAATATTCTTAGTACTTTAATTCTTTTAGCAGTTATGACCGCCGTCATAAGATTTCAAAAAGAATATCCCAACCAACTTCTTATTTGCTGCACGCTTTCCGATACCCGAATCAAGTTATTATAATCAAGAAAAACATTGAGAATGAGTCATAAAAAAATTAGTGGACATTTAACGGACACCCGTTCGACAGATAACCTAACAAGACGTCACAAAATCACATGTGAATGTGTAGTTGCCCGCTTAGACACTCAAATTCATGTAGTATGTGGTCCATCTTTGTGTGAAGAATCATGTCCGATTCGTCGCCAGTGGCGTGGTGTGTTTACTGTACTTGAAAAATGAAAGCCACAGATTTTGTCTTACTTGAAAGATACTGTCAAGTGGTCAAAAAAAGCACTCGATTCAGCTTCCGAATTCTACTGAGGTCCTTTAAAATATACCACATGATTCCGTAAGAGCATTCGATTATTGTGCAAAAGGAAATCTAGTTACTTGACACTAAAAAGGACAATACTTTCTAAAAGCCACCCATTTACAACTATCAAAAACGTGGCCCCATTGTTCCACATTTAGCTTGAAAGTAATTTACTTTTGTTAGAAGATTTAAGAACATTAAGACAGGTGGCTTTGACTGCTATTCGCAGACAAATAGTTTCAGCAAAATATTTCACGTCAGTTAAATAAGGTGATTTTTTCACATAACCAAGCATGTTTTACATCTAGAATCAAGATCTACATCTAAGGATACTTGAAGTTATTTGTTGTTCGCCTCCCTGTGATCCTCATTTTTTTCTCCGTACACCATTATAATTTTTTGGTTTGTTAGGAAGGATTTATATACTTAATCAGTGTAAGTGGGAACAAAGAACAAACTTTGGATGAATGACTGGACCACCTAGTAGTTGATATCAATGTATCATTAGAAAATGACAACTAAATTATTAAGGTAGAACTTCATGAGTTCATTATATTATTACATTGCTACACTTCATAGAAGCATACATAAATGTAGAGAAACGAAATGTGACGACACTGCAGTGAACCGAAGAAAATAACTACATGAAAAAGAATGTGAGATTTCATAACTCAGGTCATAAGGAATGAACACATCTATGCCATTGAGGATGATGTGGAAACATATTACCAACAGTTTCAAAACATTAGTTTTTAGCATTTCGAGGAACTCAGATAGGTAGTTGGTATATCCCTACAGCAATCATACTCCATAAATCAGTACCACGTCTGCAATTGTAACATAATGCCATACACCTTGTGACCCGTGAGGTTCATACGACCGTAAGAAACATGTTTATCGTTTAGCCTCATTAAACATTGAGTATAACTACTACTACTACTACCACTTATATGAATAAAGCTCAGTTATACCAGTTCAAGAACTTAGAGAAAGACAGAATTTAAGCAGATAGCTATGGAACCACTTGCAATAACTCCAGCTATTTTATGCAAATCCATTCATTTGGATTAACAAGATCGCCAGTGGGAAAGCAAGGGGTTGAAACAAGTGAAAATTTCAGTTGTAAAAAATTGATAATTTCATGTAGGTTTTACAAATATGTGCGGGCAATATGTTTCAGAATGGTTGACTTACATCTATTCATATCATCTGCCAAATAACGAGGCAGCATAAAGTTTTTCTGAAAATGGTTATTAACAGGAGACTTTTGACATATGCCTGACTGCATCGAAAGGGAGTCAGTGGATGTAGCACTTAAAGGCACTCTGTCCACTTCACTTCTGCTACTTTCACCGAACAGTTCATCCATGAAACCTTGTACTGTCTGCGATTCTTCAGATTCATCAACATATTCGCTCTTAAATACTGGAGATAAATTTTAAAATATCATAATTATGATATAACTTACAGGATAGTTCCAATTCAGTGTACGACGAGAAAGGATATGAACACTGAGTCGAAGAGCATACACTGCTTATTAAACCTACTGGCGATATGACTTTAAATAAAGGTACTGAACGTCCTGAACGTGAACATTCTGGACAAAATTCCATCGCGTGTTGTCTGATCACCATTAATTTTTAAATTTCCGCGCTTTCAATGTCCAACACAGTTGAAGCAGCACATACTGAAATCGAATAAACACAAGATTTTATGCCTAAGAGGCTTAAATATCATTATTTAAATGTATATGAATATTCTAGTAACATACTAAACTGTCTACGAACGATGACCCGGCCTTCAGTAATTTGGAATACGTGAATGATTAGCTGAATTAAGAGCCCCTGTATTTCTTATTCATTCTTCTCACTGCTGGTATTTTTATCTGCAGCACTATTCTGGATTCGGTTAATCAACCATGTCAAGTGTTCAGGTTGCACACCTTTAATATTCATATTTGGCCTTAAATAAAAAGTTGACACTACTTCCATTAAGGGATTTTCTGAAATTAAGAGAAACCATTAGCATGTAATGACAGCGAATGGATGAGTGTATGGGGCACGCGCATGAAACACTTGTCAGTAGTTCAACTGGCTTCATGGTGAATACTCGTACCGAATTCGTGTTTTTCACCTGTGAAACTGTCCTCAGATAGCCAATTCAACCGTTCAGCTCTCAGAGTCTCTGTATCGACTTATTTACGTCCTACTTGTAAATGGTGGTTTGTGACCTTTCTCCAGAAAGTTGACAAGGTAACTGAGTTCGCCTCTAAGTGAGATCCTACGCGTGTGCTTCATGTTGTTTTGAACATCTCCATCACCAAATGATTTAGCATTCGTGATAAGAGGCCAGGTTTTTATGTACTTTATCTTCTTGTGGTGGACAACACACAGGTACGTTAGGAGTGTCAGCAAGATGCGTTTCTTGGCGTTCTCCTAAAATTTTGTTGGATACTAAAGTCGTTCACAGAAATTTTCCGCCTATTTTAGAACTAGTGGGGTATACGTGGCTACTATCATTTTACTTAAAAAAGGGTGCATCAAGCCAAGTCTACAATCCAAAACAAATACAATAGGTTAATTATCTAAGGTCGTATTTATGTTCCGCATGTTTTTCTTGATTGTCTATGGATCTGTCAGGAGCGGCCGAATGCCAAATGATGTTATCTGGTCGATTATTCTGAGATGAGTGACTGCATATGAAGAGAGCTGAAATTTTTACATCACCTCTGCTTCGAAAACTTTGATCTGGCAGGTGGGTCTGTTCACCTGTAGTGTCTAAATCCATGGAAGTGTCGCGGCCAACAGGCGTTTGAATGAAAATGAGAGCGCTGAATGCGCTGGTTAGTTGTTGCCTGTTCCTGCCTTTTCGCAGTATTGCGCCAACCTAAGTTCATCTCTGATCAGGTGTGCGCATAATATTCTTCCTTTGTTATTTGAAAAGTAGGGGACAACCGTGCCACCGAGGTCTAGTGCATCGGATTAAGAAATCAGTTCGCCGTGTGTCTATAACGTTTAATTCACATAGTGTTTTACCACGTAATAATCATTAGATTCATTTATATTGGCAGCGGGAAGGAAAACGAGCTCGAAATCTTTCTCATAATTCAAGTGACCTTCTAGAAATACCGCCCCGTATGAATTACAGCCCTTTATATTAGGATTGTGCCGATTGTTTGTAATTTTTAAGTAGTTACTGCTATTGTGGTGAGAGCTGTCTACTAGCCAAATTGGTAGACAGTAATTTACGTCAATATTTACGTTCCCAAGATTTGTCGTGAGAAACAACCAATCGGAAGACTGTGTTTGTTTGTTTACGTATCCATAGTAATGTACATGAAAACATATATAAATATGCGTTGATTTCCTTAATAAATGATCTGTTGCCTGACTCTTGCCTTCTGTCGTTACACTATTCCTTAGAAGACTATCTTGAGACCCTACGGTTTTACAGCTAGCCTTCGGCATTTAAAATCAAATGCATTTACTGGGCGTTTTTAGGAAATATGAATAAGTGTATACACTTAGACAGACTTATATGGTCGTCATGGCGTGCTATGATTCAACACGTTTAAATTTTTCTTGCAGAGCATTTGTCAGCCGTTTCTGCAAATATGTGAAACCAGAGGTAACTCCACTGACATACTGCCACTAGTAGTAGTGTATAACATCTGGTATTCTGCCTTTGGCAAGTGACAACTAAAGAATTCAACAGCTGCCATCATGCTATCCAATTCACATCGTAATCAGCGATGAACTTGGATTCCCATTTTTTAGATTTTTTCTAAAAGGGAAATCTGATGCTTCTCTATAAAAATCAATCTACAGGAAACCAACACAGAGTGGTCAGTACACGAGTTGCCATTGTCAGGTGGCTTTGAGAGGAAAGAGAAACTTGATCCACTCCTTATCCTCAAGAATAAGGTTATGTCCGAGAAAAAACATTAAGTTGAAACAAAAGCCGGAAAGAACCTGGATGGTGCCGAAGAAAATGCCATTTATGAACGTTGAATTTAAAGGCGATAACGCAGCTGAGATCCCGAAGAATTGCTTGTGCAGATCACTGAGAGAAGCCTTCTTTTCGCTTGAGCTACGGATCAATTTCTACGGTCGACAAATGGATGTGTGAAGGATAGACCACCGCTTTGTGCCACTTCAACGGGCGTTTAAAAATTCACCTGCTCGTGTAGAGCTAGTTATACTGACCACACAAGGCGCACACTTTCCAAACGCATTTCTGAACACTGTTCGGCATGGTTAGCAAAAGGATAATGCAAGAAAATTACCAGTTCAGTTCTCGGGCACTTGGTGAACTCAGACCACGCAGCTCCACCAGAGTTGTCTTACAAGAGCATCTCCAAGGTGAGGCCAAATGTTACAAAGAGCGTCAGGTTTCGGCATTTGTGTTTAGCGGAGGAGTTGGCGATTTGTTAACACAACCCCGAATTCGGCATTCAGAAAACGTTTGTCCAGTCTCTTATTCTATCATGGTCTTAACCTCTTCGTTAGTCGTTATCTGCAAAATAATTTTATTTTATACTTTTTAATTTCCAATTTTACTCTTAGTTTGCTTTTACATTGACAATTAATTCGTTATATTCACTCTCATGTGCTCCTTTTGCACATTTTCACACCCTCTTCACACTTGTAAAATTGACACCCAACTACTTTTATCCTCACTCAATAGCAGTTCTAAGTTCATCAAATTTCTAACCCTTTCTTCCGTTATGCCATCGAGTGCTTCATAATTTACAACTTTTATCTTCACTTCTAAAGCCGTTTCTGAATAATTATATCAATTTTATCACTCCATATTACTCAATAATAGACCAATATAAGTTTTTAGTAAATTTAGATACGACTGTACAGCCTGTGAAGATGATTGCATCGATAAAGAAAGTTTTCTTCGCCAAGTTGTCTTTTATTTTCTTCGTGACTCAATGGGCATTTTCGGTGACTTGGCAAATCACCCTAAACTTGGTTTCTACATCTGTTTTGGTCTTATTCCTCAACCTTTATATTTAATGCCCACTAACTTTGTACAGGCAATATCTGATATGCCTCCTACCACCATATTCCACTTTTTCACTATGTCAACGACAGTTTTCCCTGTAACCTGGTATCCATTATTGCTTTAGTCTCTACTCACACTTCATAAGCCACGCGTCTTCCAGGAGTGACTCCAGATTTTATAGTTGAGAACAGCAGCGACACTGCCGAAAGTCGCCTGGACAAGAGAATTTCAGAATACTACTTACTGGTAGTGTTCCTGAATCTCCGTTATTACCTAAGTGGAACTGCTGAAATCGCGACACCTTGACGTTAATTGCTTCTCTCCAGTAAAGTTAACATATTACGATCAAAGGGCCAACAAGCTTTTTTCCTGAAAAGATGTTACTGTCTCATTACAACAGAGTGGGCATAAGGGTTTCGCATTTCATCATACTACACACTGGATGGTCCTAGATCCAAGCCCATTTTCGCCACACCGCAATCCAAAGAATCAAGTGTTACTTTAGGAGCCGACTTTTTTGTTAAAATGATTACACAAACTACCGACCAACGACCTGTAACAATGCAAAAGACCAATGATGATTACGAACATTTATTACCGAAAGCATTGTGTAACAGATAATGCAGGCAATGCGGTATCAAGCATGCTGCAGCAAACTATGACTGGGAAGCGGAATTGATAGGATCCCACACACTTGTTATTGTTCAATTATCTTAACGACTGTTAATCTCGTATAAGTTGTATATTATCATTTCTCACGCATATTGTTATTGTTCAATTATCTTAACGACTGTTAATCTCGTATAAGTTGTATATCATCAATTCTCACACACTTTGCTATTGTCAATTATCTTAATGACTGTTAATCTCGCATATGTGTTATATTATCATTTCCCAGGCACTTTGTTATTGTTCAGTTATCTTAATGACTGTTAATCTCGCATAAGTGGTATATCATCATTCCCACGCATTTTGTTATTGACTATTACGACCAATTATTTCAAATACTGTTAGCTGTCTCTATTGGTTGTAAAATTGTATAAATACCATTTCCTAAATAAGTTTATTCGTCGTTGTTGTAGTCGTCGTCGTAGTCATAGTTGTTGTACTACAATACACAGTCAGAGACCAGACTTTGTCTTTTGATATTTGCGTGGTTCGCTGAATCGGAAGGTACCAGAAGCAGATAGGCATATTAGTCAGGCGCAGACAGAACAAGGCGACAACGTACCTCATTTTAATTCCCGCTACAGTTACAACAAATAGGCGACGGGGTTTACTTTAATTCATTACGGTTATAACAATTGGCGACGCGGTTTATCTTAATTCATTGCGTTATAACAATTGGCGACGGGGTTTTACTTTCATTCATTGCAGTTATAACAAGCAAGCGACGACGTGTTTTATTCTGTTCAGCGCATCTATAGAACATTTTTGACTGTGTTAATTACAACCCAATTACAATGTCTATCTCTCTGGACGATCTCAAATCCATCTTGCAGCAGCAGCAACTTCAGAATGAAGCAGCTCAACTTAAATTAATCGAAGCTCTCACTCAGAAGCTGTCAATTCAAGTCCCATCAACATCTCATTCAGACAAATACGAAAGCATCTCAAATTCCATCAGTGAATTCAACTACGACCCAATATCTGGTCTCGTATTTGATGCATGGTTCAATCGTTAT